TGCTTGACCCAGAGGCATGGAGTTTTCAATTTAAATTATAAGTTTCAATATCCAATATTCATTGTGATCAGGCAATCGGTTTCCTCTCTAGTTCTTAATAAGAAAAAAAATTGAAAATTCTATAGGATGCATATTTTAGAATATGCTAAGTTTAGCCCCATCCAAAGCTCACAACAATAAAAGCAGAGGTCAGGCATGCATTGTACTGGTTCAGCAAGAAGATAATAACCTGTAGCAATCGTACAAACATAATGCCAGATAAAGTTTCTCAGAAAATATAGTTTTTAAGATAAATTAAATTTTTAAAATATTTTCGCTCAATTTATTTCATCATGGGAGCTAACCATGGACATAGGGACTTCAATACGGGGCTAAGATATTAAAACAATGCTAAGTATTTTCCTGCTTGATGTCTCGAGAAAAAAAAAAATCTTAAATATTAGGAGGACAACGATGCTCTGGATCCTGAACAATGGACACGTTGGAACAATCTGTATGAATTTTAACAATTTGGTAGAGAGCTAAGAACTTATTATAATGAAGCAAACAGGTGTCCATCAAACCAAAATTACATAATATATAAATATGTACATTTTAAACATAAGAACAGCTTCTCCCAATCTTGTATTTGAACCATGGGCTTTGGCATTCTCCGTACCTGTGCCTGAAGTCTGTATGGGCTTTGAAAAAATTAATTTTTTTTGGTGAAATGTCGAGTACTCATTAGATTCTTATAAATAAAATGCCTGTTTGATGTCTAGAAAAATGGAGAAGATTTTCAAACGCGCAATCATTCTCTTAATATGACAGACACATCCATCCTCTAGAAGAATAAGAAGACTGTGGTTTGTGTCACATTCTTTGTACATGCAAAAACATTTGATGCATTTTTTAAATTTCTTATCTCAACTTCTTAATCTTAAGGATAATATGATCTTCTTTTAACATTCCATAGAGCGCCGTTTAAAATGGTTGGAAAGAAATAAATGGTACCTAACACCATTTGTCCAGTATAATTATAAATTTCCTTTACTTTCATAGAACTACACACGCTAACTCTCCATTCCCGCCTCATTTAACATTCATTTAATTTAATACTAATGACAAGTTGGCAATTAAATCTTTGTTTAATGCAAAGAACAGTTAATGGTAATTGAATAAAAATTTTGATACGAGTGTTAAATAGTTAATTCCAGCTCTTTTAATAAGGTGGTAGACGATGTTTTCCACTGAAATCAGGCTTGAAAGCATCAGCATATTTTAAAATATTCTTGAATATGGATAAAGTTTCCTTATTTCTTTCTTTACACATATAAAATTAATCCTATGTAATTGATAAAATACAACTCTTAAGTTGTAAACCCCTTTGAAATTGGTGAAAAAATTAGTATTTTTGTCGTTTTCCGTCCGTAAACAAATGCCCCCCCCCCCCCCCCCCCACGTAAAAAAGCTTTGGTATGAGTTTGAAAAATAACGATCCGTATTACCTGTAAAAGGAATTTTGGTTTCACGGGGGGGGGGGGGGGTAAAAATATTTTCCGTTTTCCGTTGATTTCTATAGTAAAAAACACAAGTTCTACCAAAATCATAGAGTTACCTCTCTTTGTTTTCCCAAAACAAGTAACGTTTTATGAAAATTCATATAAATATCTATATAGTATGAAAAATCATTCAAATGTGTTAACTTTTGAAAATTAACTTGGAGGTAGGCGGGAGAACAATACTACCGTTCGCAGTTTTAAGTAAATGTAATCCATTTCGTCAACCATGATGAGTTTTGAATTACGATCACAACAGCTTGTTATGATGCTGGTTAAAGTCTTATTCCTAATCAATTTTTGTGACAGAATGTTTTCTACATGTATAAAAAATAATTGACACAACAGTAAGGTATAGAATGATACGCAAGGAAATTTTCCTGTACTAAATATAGTACCTGAGACTTTTCATCTCTTACCTGGGTAAATGGATTCCTTTAGACATTCCCATACGTAAGTGTTTATGCAAACAATTCATGAAATAATATAAAAAAAAAATGTTTTAATATCTGTACCAACTCATTTTTTTTTTGGGAAAAATACAAATTTGTATATACATGGGAAAAATCAATTATACGTTTTATTACTGTCATTTCCTAAAATATGAATGATTTGTTTTACCACAAATGATAAGAGTGAATTGAAACAGAAAAGTGTCCAGTAAAAGCAGATAAACCCATAATAAAACTGTATAAAGAGAATGCCTACCGAGGATTCAGTTTTGGCATCAATAGAAATTCTCCTTCGGCATTCAATCTCGTGGTTTCATGTGAGTAGCACCTGCCCCCATGTTCCTGAATGCCTCGGAGAATTTCAATCAATGTCCGCCCTACAGGTAAGTCTCCTTTAATTTATCAATTCTATTAGGATTGTAAATATAAATAGTGTTAACAATTGCTACCGCATTAGAGATAGGCCTTCTCTTTAATATTATCATGAAATCGTGAAAATCAAATCTTTCTGAAATTTAAGGACGGGTCTCTAAAATGAGAACTACCGATATCTTATACATGTATATGAACTTAACAAAATAAATTCAAGAACAAAAACAACACCCGTTCAACGTTCAATGTAATCGCGGGTGCATTATTGACTTTTTTAATGTTACTGAGGTTTCAATGGATGTTATACCCGCAAGATACCTCAAAGGTTTGTCGCTACTCTGACGCTACAATACCTATCATTGAACATTTAAACGACTAAAGGGGTGCCGACAAGGTAAAAAAAAATATCGTATTTTGAAGTATTTGTTTTGTATGTTGTTTAACGTCCCTCTCGAGAATTTTTCACTCATATGGAGACGCCACCACTTGCCGGTGGAGAGCTGCAAATTTTGTCCTATGCTCGGCACTTACGACCATTGAGCAGTGAGGGGTCTTTTTCGTGCCAACACCTACTGCGACACGGGACCTCGGTTTATACGGTCTCATCCGAAGGACCGGTCTTCACGTCCCACAGTGGAATTCGAACCCATGACGTAAGGAACAACTCACCTCGGACTCTAGAGCAGACTCTCTAACCACTGCGCCACGCGGGCGACGTATTTTGAAGTAAACACTCATTGAAAGATAGGAAAGGGCGGGGTCAATATGGACTTCATGTTCACGTTACTGTCATTACTTGGTAGGTGTAAATATAAAATTTACAATTACAATTTAACAATTAAGTTATTTTTAATAAGAATTTACAAAATTATTGTATGACACATTTTTTTTTCTGATTTACAATTTTCATACAAAGAATTAGTTCATAGCAGCTGTAAGAGAAATTTAGCAGCTAATGCTATTTAATATTTAACCAAGAAAATGAAAACACAAAAGAAAAAAAAATGGAGATGTCATTTTGTACAAAACAAAGAAATAGGCTGGCACATAGCATCGTTTTTGAAAGTGAAGGGGGCGGGGATAGTTGACAACTTACCTGAAAAACTTTTGACAATCAAAATGAAAAAAAAATGGTCAGACTAGAATATCTTATTTTCAGGTAGTTTGTGTATATGTTAGTGGGGAGGGACTTAATTAGGTAATTCCAATTTTTTCCGACGAAAAAATGTCTTAATTCATGTACATGCATGTTTAAGCTTTACTGCAACAAAAAATGTGTGTTCAGGAGGGGAGATCTATCAACTAACAACTTTCATACGAAAGCAACACGAAACTTAGTTTAGAAAAACGCGTTAGCCCCATTCCCAAACGGGTTAGCCCCATTCCTGATACTACGTATTCGATAAGGGACCATCTCCTCCGACTTTTTCAAACAACTTGAAATTACTTTCAATAAAATAACATATTAAATATGAAAAAAGTATAGCCTAGCACATACATACTGCCCTCCTTTTTTTGAATACAAGTATATGTTGTATAGTAAAATTAATAAAAAACATTTAAAAAAAAAATGAATTGAGCCTTGCCCCCCCCCCCCTCCCCCCCCCTCCAAAACGAGCGCACTTTAGAAATATTACGTTTTCCGAAGTAGTGTAATCCTTTTTTTATTTGTATTCTGTTTTCAGTTACGCCCCTCTTTGAGAAAGAGACTATGCTTATTCATTTTGACATTGACTATACATCGAGGTATACTGTGCTTTTATCCCTCTTTCTCTCTTACACACACACATACACACCCTGTGTTAGCGTTTAAGCAATATCATGCTGTGTTGTATTAATTGTGTGCAATTATGCATTCATTATCCACGATAAGAAGAGAGAGAAACCAAAGAAAGAAATCTTTGGTATGTCACTCACACACCCAAACACACCCTCACACACCCTCCCTTATTCACACACGAACATACACAAGTTAAGCAACCGACTAAGCGCCTCGCCCCAATATCTTGTCATCAGGGATGTACAGGATGAGAATCTAGATTTTAATTTTCTGGGGAAAATAATTCTTTCTTCAAATAAAAAAACCAGCATACACATTTCAATTTATCATTAACCGAGTTATTGAAACTCAGTACACTTTCTAAAATCAAGGCTGTAGGAATGTGAGTGAGTTGGGTGCGATCGTATCTTCATGACTTTTTATTTATAAAAAAGTTAAAAGTAATGTTGCTAGCTTTTGTTTAATTAATGTGTTAAATAAAACTTAAAATACACAAAAACACATCTTAAAGAGTATTTATTTTTTTTGGCAAAAAGTCCTTGCTAATAGGTGATATATCCCTCCCAGACCCCCCCCCCTCCCCCGGGACAGCCTCCTTTCCGGAAACTTGGCGACGGCCCTGATAATTAATAAAAACTTATTCCGATCTTTAACTCGGTGCAACAATAACTGGCCCCAATATGGCAGTATTGTCAAGATACTGGACGTAAGTGCCAGTTACTTTCTTTTATACAGGTAAGATGTTGGTATTTCTCTAATTTGCGTCTTGCTTAAAATTTTACGGTAACTAGTAAATGAAGTAAAATACATTTTCCAAATCCCTCTCTTATCAGTAATAGTGTGGTGGACATACAAAATATGTCAGCACATGTCTTCCTCCATCTGTGTCATGAGGTTGGGACGTCATTGGAAGTTGGAACTAGGAGAGACATTATGGACATAATAAATACACTGGCAAATCAAATGAGAACAAACCTTATGATGACAAGTGGAAGTCGAAGAGAAGGATTTAGACTAGTGGAGTCTGATCTGGACGTTATGTACTGGCCAAATAGTTACCGTGTTATCTGGGAATTGTATCAGTCTCATTATTATAACAATCTCAGCAAAGAACTGATACTCTGTGACGGTTCAGAAAGCCGTCCAGGATTCACCTTGTTATATCTGCTTTCACCAAGATTATACAGTGAACTCCAGAGAGCTTGTGTTAGAATGAAAAACAGACATTATATATCTAGTTCTAAACACAGACAAATCAAGTGTTCTGCAGAATCACAGAGATCCACTCTCCATGGACCTTGTGTGGGTAGACATCATGGAATGCTAGGATATGATCTTGCCCACTGTTTTGCATCGGATATTTGGCCTCCATCTGCCTCCTCATGGATAGACAGAAGTCATTCATGGCCCCCGTCTCATATTGTTGATGACATAGTAAAAAGAGGATGTCATTTTGTGGCAATTGGACATAAACTAGAAAAACATGAACAAAATGAATGGAGAATTTCTTTTTCTTTGGCAGAACAAAAGCTTGTGTATGCAATGAACCACTTCCAGTTCTTAACATACGGCTTGCTGAAATTAATTTTAAATAGAATAATTAATAATGGATTAGGCGATGATGATAAATTACTGTGTTCCTATCATATGAAGACGGCAGTTTTCTGGGCAATTCAACAAAATATAATACCTCAGTGGTGTCCACATAATCTTCTTTACAGTTCCTTGACCTGCTTTAAACTCATCCTCAAATGGGTGTATGAGGGGATCTGTCCCAACTTTTTCATTCCTAGTAACAACATGTTTCTCAGTAATATTTATGGTGAAGCCCAAAACTTTTTATTTATTAGACTGTATGAACTATATAAGATGGGTATACAATCCATGCTTGAAACTCTCTCCATTACCTCTTGTAATGAATGTATAGATTTCATTCGTGATCCCAGCATTTCCTCTTGCGCAGATGAAGATGTCCTGTTTTCTGAGGCTGATTTTGACATCAAGTTATTTAGAGAAGTAGACAACCAGGGCTCATTTTCTGTCTCAAACGTACAAAAATGTATACAGTTTTTACATATAATAGAACAGATGATTGCATCACCCCTGACACAGAATCAAGACATTATGCTACAGAAACTTACAAATTCTGTCCTCCAGAATCTGGCTTTTATGTTACCTTTGAATACTTATACACAAGAAAACAAACTGAAGTACAGAGCTGACAAAATTTCTTGTCATTTCCTGAAATTTGCAGCAAAGTTTGGTTGTATTTCTGACGTATTGTACCTAGCCATGTATTATTACAAGACATTTAGATACACAGAAGCATTAGCTATAATAGAGGTGATAAAGGTTAAGCTATCCCAGCCATATGTGATGCACAATTTTAATGTCGATGAGGAGATGTACACGGAGGCTGTAGGGGGTCAGTCCTGGTCTACAAAGATGGGACAAGCTGTAGCATGGAATATCAAACTTAACAATAATATTCTTTACATCAGTGAATTGAGACCAGAACAACAGTCCAGTCTACAAAACGATGTGCCTTACTTGTATATTCCACCCTTCGTAATGCTATATATGCTAGAAATTTTTGCTGCAAACATGTAGAATTAATCAGAGCACAAACAGCTTTAGATGATTTGCGGACCTTGGTTCACTATGATCAGGAAGAACTTATACTTCCAACTGCCAAAAACATAGCATGGCAGATATTAGGGATTTGTCAACAGATGACAGGGAACTTCCATGACGCTCTATACTCATACCAACAATCTCTCAGAGAATATCAACTCCACAGTATACAAACTGCTACAGAAATGAGAATCCATGAAATCTGTCAACATAATCACTATACTAGTTAAATAATATCAACATAATCACTATACTACATGTAGTTATATAAAATCAAACATTTGAAGAAGAAATTCACATGACAGATTTTTTAATCATTGTTTTTTCTTCTCATTGTAAATTGTAGAAGAAATTAACTGGAAATACTTTAATTTATCATCAATGTATTTTTAAGACTAATATTTTGCTTTAAAATACATCTACAAATTTACCATAACATGCAGTTATATTGTGTGTCATTTGACAGCTAGGCATATATTTCTGAATGAAATGCTCAAGTAAGAAATAAATGTTTTTTATTGCATAATATCTATATATACTTTATTTCTTTGTATAGTATATGAAATTCCAAGAAAAGGGTCAATGATTTTCGTTAATCCATGTTAGTCTTAACCAGACTTCGTGGCCATAAACCCCTGGGTCGAGGCTTCTGCTGGTGGACTGTTAGTCCCTGAGGGTCTCTACAGCCCAGTAACCTAGTACTTCGCTACTAGCTTAAAAAAATACGGATATATATTTAAATCCTGTGGCAATATTTAGAAATTTATTTCAAAAATAAGGATTATCTCCTCATACATAGCTCTGATTCTTCAAGGTTTTGGCTCCAGTTTTTGGCATCTTTTTCAGCTCTTCCAAGTCTTTTTTATTTAAATATTTTGGATTTCAACGTTTCGGCTTGAGCATCACTGAAGAGACATAATTTTTCGAAATGCTCATCTGGTGCATCAAAATTGGTATCGCATATGATTTACACGAGCTCACTTTTGATCTCAGTCTCACTTTTCTACTATTAATTCCTTTTAGAAAAGTGAGACTGAGATCAAAAGTGAGCTTCTAAGTTTTTTTATGGCTCCGGAGCCAGATGGAGTTTCATGATTATGATACGTAAAATTAATCAAAAATTTTGCGAATAGCGTATCCAACGAATTCTAAAGACTTTTTTTTAATTTTTAGTATTATAATACGCTTATGTCATCATTTTTTTTTTCGAGAATGAAGAGTTGCAAATTGCATGGACATCACAGATTTGTATATAAAGTATAAAGAAAAACATATCTTTATCCAAGGGTATGCTTTATCAAGAGTATTGTCAGTTTTGACAGAATCCCTCGCTTCAAGATGTAAAATGATTTCTATGTGTCAAAGCTCTTCTGTTATGAAAGAAATTATACTGAACAAAAATGTTTGTCCCCCCCCCCCCCCCACAAAAAAAAAACAAAAAACAAAAAACAAACAAACAAACAAACAAACAAACAAAAGAAAAGAAAAAAAATATACATAGAATACCATAATGAAAAGTCCAATTTTATGTAAGTATCGTACTGGCTAAGTACTGCAATGACGGATGCTACCCGCGACAATTGTTTTCATGGTAACGTTAAGTTTATGGTATAAGATTCCCTCTACCATATAGGAAAGTCTAACGCAGGTGTGTTAAGGAAGCACTAACGCAGCTATGTTAAGGCTTCCCCAAGCTTTAAAATGCGGTCAAAACATGTCATTGCGAGGTCGGTTTTGGTTTTAATTTATAAGTATTGAACTTAGGTACTTCCAATTTATACAGAGGGTTTCCTCGGCTATATATTAACATATTTGTTATGATATCACATGACTTTGTTGATCACATGACGGTCATTTATAATTTTTTGAAGTGTTTCATATAAATCGCTTCGGTGCAGCTGATTATCAATAACATTATCAATAATTATCAACATTTTGTTATATAAATAAATTCATCGTATCAAATATTTTTAAAATATTCGGACGTATAAGACTTAAAAAAACATTTAAACGACCCGTGAATTTTGCAATAGCTATCTAGGATTTTACATGCAGTTTGAAATAAAGTGTAAAGTTCATGACACTCTACCCGTCATAACACCTCAAGTTTGCAGTGACTTGACGTCATTATCCATTATGACGTCATATTTTGGTAGTTCAGAGATCATACTACCCATAGTCCTCTGCGTCTCCGCACGCACACAGAGACACTACCATCTACCGCATAACGCATACCGAATTGGGATAATGTACGTCCGCGATTACAACGCGGTCGAATTACAGAAAAGAGTGAGTGCGAAGATAATACCCCAATTTTTATGTAATAAAATTCTAAGAACTTCATAAATGAGACTTAAATTACAAGTTACATGTACAATTTATATTAAAAAAGACCTGTAAAAAAATAACAAAAAACGGAAATAAATATTTTTTCAAATATAATATTTTCTACTTTCACTTCAATGAAAACATGGATTCAGACAGATTAACGAGTGCTAAAAAGAAGTTAGGAATAACATATGAATTAAAGGTAGAACAAATTACTGCACTTCGTGCTTTCATAGAGTCAAAGGACCTCGTGTGTTTACTTCCGACTGGCTTTGGGAAAAGTGTTATTTTTCAACTAATGCCATTTCTTTCCGATGATCCCATGGCAGTTGTCCTTGTAATATCACCATTGAACGCGATTATGAAGGATCAGGTTATGAAACTATGCGAAAGGGGAATTCCAGCCTGTTTTCTTGATATTACGGGAAGAGATGGTTCCACCTACAAGCTGAAACCTGCACTGGGGACAGGTATGTCATTTTTAATCTTTTTAAAATCCTCATTAATTTCTAATGCTTAGGGACCAGGCAACATTTATTTCTGTTAAACCTTTAAAAATTTGTTCCTATATAATTCAATACTAATTAAAGTCTAACATTTGTAATATTTTACTGAGAGAGCATAAAAAAATTGATGTTTGACTGCAGAGTGAGATATTGGACCTGTTGATGAGATGTTGGACCGCTTACGTCACATAAAGGGCGGGGTCAGCTAAATCTCATTTGCATTTGTTGGTGTTCGACATACATGTATGTAAAAAAATAATAATAAAACAAATAAATAAAAGGTATAACAAACACGTGTTCCCGGGCAAAATGTGTTTTGTTGACCCCTCGAATCAAACTGTTTGCCTTCGGCCTAACGACCTCAGGCAAACAGTTTGGTTCTTGGGTCCGACAAAATGCATGTTGCCCTCGAACCCAGTCAATAAATGAATAATATTTATGCCTGGTCCTTTACTGACCACAACACTCTTCATGTTCAGCATAAAAAAACTAGCACACATACAGAGACACACAATAAGCATTAACCAGCTGTTAACATCTTTCATATAAATCCCCACTCCCACACACAGAATGATACATCTATTCTATTGAAAGGTTCGGTGAGTGAAGGATATACCAAAACACAAGCCAAGTAATTATTATTTTTTAATGCTAAGGTACCTGTTCCTTAAATGTTCATTGACGGGATATATTGCTTAATTATGTGCTTTTTTGTGTTGTGGATACATTGTACTTTTCAGATTGTCTTAGTGTAAATGGTCAGCACACCTCAGGCTTCTAGCAGTTGCTAATATGGTGGCATTGAGGAAGTCCAGGTTCAAATCCTGGGGGCAGTCTGAAGTGCAATCAACTGAAAGAATCATTTGTACTAAATCCAAATGGCCAAGATATATACTAATTTTAACAGTTAGACCTGCATGTGTAACCCATGTATTAAATACATGCAGTTGTCCGATAAATTAACTAGGAAATATCATTCATATATGTCAGAGCAACCGCACACAAGGTACAAAAATGTATAATGCAACATGAAGATTTTTGGTCTGCATGGTCTAAACTAACTACAGTATGCGATGACAGAAATAATAATTTTCATATAAATATGACTTCTAATGTCCGTGTGGATGAAATGTAACTGTCTATGCACTTTAAGTTATTTTTTAAAAGTTAATTTTTTTTTCTAAAATAAAAAAATATATACCCTCTACCTAATCAGGTGTAAAGGTAAATGCAGAACAAAGAATAGAATAATTTCTTTGAAACTGATATAAATCAGAACATAATGAAAGAGTTGAATAGCTTTCACAAATACATGCATCAGTGCAAAAACTTTGACAGAAATATTCTGAACAATTTCTTTGAGGAACGATGGAGGAACAGACAAGATGGAAGGATTGAAATGTCATCACAGAAGCTATATGCCCTAAATTCATGAAGGGGCATAATAAATTCAAATAATTGTTGTCACCAATATGGAATTTATAGTATGATTCATTGACATGCTTATGCAGTGCAGTGCAACATTTTGCCAGATAAGGCAACTTCTAGGTATTTTTTTTTTAGCGGATACAGACAAACAAACAATATAATGAGCATACTACTAGTAAGTTCTGTAATCCTGTAGATATTGTGGATGACAGTGAGGAAAGAGATGACAGCAGCAATGATGATTACACTGATGAAGATGTTGGGAAGCTGCTGCTGAAAGTTTCTCCAGAAGAAGTGGCAACTGGAAAATTTCGCCTTATTTATGCCCATCCCGAGGCATTCCTTTCTTCAAGAGAAGGAAGGAAAATTTTACAAAGCCAAGCTTTGCAGGATCATGTGTGTGGTATCTGCATAGATGAAGCACACATGATACAAGAATGGTATGATATATATAAGAGAAAGAGAGGCCCATAGGCAAAAGGGCTCACCTGAGTCAATATGACCCTTTTGTTCTTTATCAGCAGGCTTTTCCTCCTATATATTCTTAGGTAAAAATCTGATCCCATTATAGCCCAATCCTACCCCCATGTGTCATGATTTGAACAAACTTGAATCTGCACTATGTAGTGAAGGTTTGAAAGAAGTTTCAACTTTTCTGGTGAAGTGGTTCTTAGGAAATTTAAATGATGCCACCAAATTTTCAATAATTCTTAATTATCTCCCCTTGAGTTGCAAGAGGGCATGACCATTCATTTGAACAAACTTGAATCCCCTTTACTCAATGATGCTTTGTGGCAAGTTTGATTAAAATTGGCCCTATGATTCTGGAGAAGTCAAAAATGTGAAACATTTATGCAGACAGACAGATAGACAAAATGTGATCAGAAAAATTTACATGAGCTTTTAGCTTAGGTGAGCAAACGATTGTAACTCAGATACTTATTTTCATTGAGAACCTATGCCCCTAAGCCAAACAAGCTATTTTAAAATTGTAAATGTTGTTTTTTTTTAAGGGGTGAAGACTTTCGGAAGGATTTTGCTAGACTACAAGAATTGCTGGGTATTTTCCCTAGGGTACCTGTGTCCCTTTTTACTGCAACGGCATCCCAATCGACAAAAGAAAAGCTGGTAAAAAACCTTGGTTTAAGGGATCCAATTTTGATTTCAAAGAATCCAGACAGACCAAACATTAAATATCACAAATATGAACGACTGCCAAGCATGCGACAAGAAGACGACCTTGACAAAATTCTAGAAGAAATTGTGACAGGTCTACAAAAGGACATGAGACATTACCCTCTCACCCTCATTTACACTGATTTAGAATCAATCAGGTATGGATATAGGTCTTTGGAGAGCAAGTTAGGGATTGAGTCTCCTGAGAACCGGTGTTATGCTCAGTACCATACCCATTATCCTGAGAAAATGAAAAATTTTATCATAAGGGAACTCGGCAAATCTGAGCCAGTAATTCGAGTAGTTCTTGCAACTGTAGCTCTTGGTATTGCTTTACATACACCTGCTTTTCGCAAAGTTATTCATTTTAAATGTCCAACCAGCATTGAGAAATACTTACAAGAAACTGGACGTGCAGGGCGAGATGGGTTACCTGCTGATGCAATTTTGTATTTTAATAAAAACAGATGTCAGGACCAACAGACCTGGGATGCAAAACTCTATGCGTCAATACTGTATTAGTACAGACACTTGTTTGCGTTTGCAATTGTTACAGCATTTAGACTACACGCCAGAAGTGGGAAACAAAAAATGCAAATGCTGCAATGTGTGTGAAATTTTATGCTGTTGTTCAGACTGTGAATTGTAACATGGTGCCATAGTATTCGCAGGTGACAAAAGATTACAACGTAATCATTATTTAAGTAAAATTTATAGTAGTACTTGCCTTGTAAACCTTGACACTTGCCTTTACATGAAAGACCTTGACTCAATGATGTAAAAATAATGTATTTGAGATTTTACATGATTTTAAATATATAAGAATTCAACTATTTGTTATGGAAAAAAATTATATTCTTTTATTACATAATATCTTTGGTAAGTGGTTACACATATTAATCAAGAGACCAATCGGCCACAATGCTCTCCTGAATCACTTTGGCCCTGCTGTATATTCCAATGTAGAGTTTTGATCACATATTGTGGCCCACTGGCACTCTACCTCTGAGGGTCATGATTTGAACAAACTTGAATCTATACTATTTTGGATGTTTCTCAGTAAATATGACTTATCATGGCTTTGCTGTTCTTGAGGAGAAGATTTAAAAGATTTTTCGCATAAATTTGAATCACCACTATGTGAGGATGTTTCCCCATAAATGTTATAGCTTTGCCGATTTCTAAAGATTTTTTTTTATATTTTCCTATGCTAAACTGATCTTCCATTGTGGCCCCACCCTACCCTGGGGGTTATGACATGAACAACCTTGAATCTACACTATGAATGAAGCTTTTACATGAGTTTCATCTTTTCTGTCTTAGTGGTTCCTGAGAAGATTTTTGAAAGATGCTATAAAAATGTCACTAATTTTAAATTATCTCCCCTTGAAAAGTGTGTGGTCCTTCATCTGAACAAAGTTAAATCATCTTCATCCAAAGATACTCTATGGCTGGTTTGGTTGAAATTGGCACAATGACTCTAGAGAAGACGAAAATGTGAAACCTTTAAGAATAAGATGATGACGTCAACAGACAACAGACAATTTCGATTAGAAAAGCTCCTTCGGCTCAGGTGAGCTAAAAACACCAAGTTCATATGCCCCTAAACATCCAAACATATTGATAACATTTGACATAATACATACAGCAATCATACACTGCAATCAGATGCAACTACCCACCCCCATCCCCCAAAAACCTATGAATGATCCTTACTGGTTGTAGTATTCAAGGTCAATGTTCTGGCATCTTTTCAAGCGCTCAACTATTTTGAGAAAATGGGATTGAAAATCTGAAGATATACTTGAGAATGGATTTTTCCTGAAACCACTGTAAAAATTCATCTTGCGGTTATCAATCACACTAAATGGGTCTAATCGATCTAAAATTTGAACTAGAAGTGTCACATCTTCCAAATTGTCTTTTGTACTGTGTTTTCCACTCCTTGATACACACCCAATATTGTTCATATAATTTTCTACACTTTCTGCCACAACAGGGGCTGCTGCAGATGCACGCGCCATGGCTTTTGTGGTTTTATTGGCACCCAAACCTTTTATAACATCTTTGAGAACAAGGATGTTATTTTCTTGTTGCATGTCAGCTGGCTTATTTCCTCCCTTCTTTCCATGTGGGTTAACAAAACTACCAAGTCTCAATCTCATAGCTGTGTGCTGTGGTAATAAAACTTCTGTTTTGAGGATATAATCTATGCACTCAACTGCATATTTGGACCGATCTGAATGACTGTAAAAGAAGGGAATCATTCTTTTTAAGTTAATGTTGGTCCTGAAAGGGTCTCCTTCTCGTATGCCATCCTGAAATTCACAAAAATGGATATACCACATCAGTAATTGTACAGAGTAATTCTGTAAGTCATCTGTGGTTTCATGTAAATTGAATACTCTAAAAACTTCCCCAGATGACATTTTCACATCAACATAGCCATTTTTGCACAGTTGTTCTCTGGGAATTATCACAGAACTAGCACCAAAATCCAATTGCACTGGAGGTAAACATCCTGGGTCATGAAATTCCATGAATATTTCATTCACAATTTCTTGAACAACCTTCCAAAAGAGAGGTTTTCTTGTTTTAATCTGTGTGTTTCCGATGTTTTCTGGCAGACTTACATTTGGAATAACAGGCTCACTCTCTAAGCTGTCCATTGAAAATTTCTTCATACATAGCTGAATCAGTAAGGCCTCACCAACTGTGTGTACGAAGTCACTGTGTGCCTAAAAATATCAAAACTATAGGATTCCAAACACCATAATAGCCAAAATTGAAACTAACATTAGTTATCAATTAATTTATAACCAATATCAACCAATTAAGCCCATCCTAGGACCTGAACCATGGACCCAGGGGCCGTGAACTTAAAATTTTGATAAAAAAATTATTACTATCATGCAAACAGTTTGCCTGCTAGATATCCATGAGTAACAAATTAGATTTTAGATGATAATAATGCATCAATTTCCAATATATGACAAACTTAGCCTACACTAGTACATGTAGAGTCTAAACCTATGAATTTCACAATTTACATGAATTATAAAATTCAGAATCTTCTTCCCTTTGGCTATGGGTCATTCTACTTCTAGAAAATAAGCATGGACGACATGATGCATACCTGGAACCCTCCTTTTACTTGACCGTTTACGTTGGTCCTCCTCAGCTGACATTTGAAGAAAGCTAGACTTCCTTCTTGTCGTGAAGTCTTTGTTGAGTAGAATCGTTTGAACAATTTCTATAAGTAAAAATTCTTACACTTCATAACTAATGTTAAATTTCAGCATAATAGACATATTTTTTTCTTCACATTTTAAACAGCGGTATAACTTACATCAAGAAAATCCTGTTCAACATGAAACAGCTCTTCTATAACAGGATCAAAAGTCTCCATTCTTTCCACTGCAGCGTGAGCACCAGCAAGAAGATCTTTAGCTCCACTCATCCTTACTCTAACAAGTTGATCCCCTCCAAGTATTATTTTAGCTGTTTCAAAGTCATCTCCTAACAAGCAATAAAACACATTTGATTAAAGAATTGTATAAATAATGCCATTGTGCACCTCCTATTTTACTTTTTGATCAGACACTTATTTTGGGTCTCCCATAACAAAACTTGGACTTTGCCATTATAATCATATGGGAGAGGTGGGGGTATCATTTAGTGAGTTCAGTGCTCACAGTACCTCTAGTTGTATCTTTTGTATCTCTGACAAATGTTTTGAATACCTGTATTTACTGGTAGTTGATTTTTTACTAAAAAAACATTTAAAGCAATATGAGCTGCATGTGTAAGAATTTTATTTTGCCATTAAAATGTGCTATTATGATAAATCTGTTTGTAATTTAAACTTTTATGATCAATTATACAAAAAAAGTAGTTTTTTTTTTCAGAAGTAAGATTTCTGAACAATGTAATGTATAGTATTATATAAGAAATCAATATTTACAGGATGACAATAATGTAATTTTGCTTCAATCAAAGCTTATAAGTAGTTCTTTCACTGAAATATGAACAACAGATGTTTTTGAACATTTTTTTTTCTGTCATTGAAATAGTTAATTCCAATTTTGCTACAAAAATTTTCGACTTCAAAATTGCAGCTCACATTGTTTAAACAAAACTGTAAACAGCCTTAAGTGTAATACTGCAATTAACACAATGAACAAATGAACTCATATAACTATAATACAACAATGATGGATTTGAGAAACTAGTAAACATTAGTTTAAATGGTCTTGGTAATTATCCTTGAAATCAACCTTTAACAACAGTAACAAACATATGAACAAAAAATTAAAAACAAAATTAGGACAATTTTTTTTTTTACGTCTTCCGGCTTTTTCATAAGAATTCACCAACTCTCTACTGAGTTCATTTAGAACCTCAATGCACCCATCATAATACTTAGGGTCTTGAAGAATCATCTGAAAAAAGTTCTTAATCAAATTGATATGAAAAATAGTGGCTTACTGCATGTTCACTGTTACATTTTTGAATTGAGTACAGGCATCACTAATGCATATATGTATAATCTATTACATAACATTTAAAAACTGTAATTTTTTTTTTCATGACAAATTGGAATATCAAATTCAAAATTTTAAAATCTTTAAAGATTACCTTAAGGGGAAATATCTGTGACTTGCTTGTCATCTGCTGACTATAAAGATGAGGAATGTGTAAAGGGATGCAGGGTTGCATCCATTTCATAGATGTGAAATGTTTCACTAAGGTACGACCCACCTTGAACATAGATAAAAAAAGGAAACAAATATACCATGTCTACCTCTATCATTATTCAAATAAGAAATAGTAGATTTTAGTATTAATAGAATAGTTACACTGTATAATAAAGATGAGATACAATAATAACATTTTTCATTTTCTTACTTTTGATATCTAAATTAAACACATTGGATTGAAAATTACATACCATGTAACCATACATTTCCTTTAACTTGCTCTCCTGTTCCACACTGAGATAGAATACATCAAACTTAATTTCCTCTGGAACTGTGGGAGTGGTGCATTGCTCAAGATCCCTCAAATCTGCACGATCAGGGTAATAGGTAGATGCAGTGTAATGGTAATGTTTATTACCTCCAGTGAGTCTGACATCCCTTGCTATGGTCATTCCATCGATATTATCAACTGTGACTTTCCCTCCTATTCCCAACTGAATACTGCGAACAATCCCCTCTGTGTTCAAATCTCCCATTTTGTCCAGAAATGTATATTTACTGTCTGCTGAGAGGGTAATACTAGTCTTGTTGAAGACATCTAAGAGGTCATTACCTGCATGAAATCGAAGGGCAATACAGGTGTTTATCTTCTGCATGGCACACAGATCTTTATTTCTCCTATTCATGGCCATAGCATACATCATAGCAATTGTGGAATTGCCAGTAGCAGTTTTCTGTTGATCAGCATGTAATGGGGATGCTAATGTCTGGAAAACTCTAAAAACAAATGGAAAACAGTTTTGAAATTCAAGCAGACATTTATGCAAAATATCCTCTGATTTCAAGCGAGATGGATGTTGCATTGTTCTGAGGACTGATGGACCTGGTTGAATGTTGAGAGTACATAACTTATCAGCAATGACTTCAGTCTCTAGTAAAATCAGTTTATGAATTTCAGACAGTAA